AATCTCGTTGCTCAACACACTCCTTTTATTTAAAAATTACTGTGGTAGATAAATTTCTCTTAGAGTTACCGCAGCCTTTATGAATATCAGTTCAAAGAGGACTGCGATTTATAGACAATTAGTTGAAGAATTGAGAGAAGATTTTTAAAAAATCATTCAGTCACTCGTTGGCTTGTTTGCCACAAATGCATTGTCCTAATTGTTAAGAATATTGGGATATAATTTTTAAATTCTTAATGATTGTGGAATCAGAGTTTTTTTTTGTTGCACGTTTTTTTTTGTTTTTGCTAGTTTCAATTTTTATTATCTATAGAATTATCTAGAAGCTCTAGAAGTAAATTACATATAGTTTTCTGCTCCATTGTACAATGTAGACTAACCTCAGTGACCGGTGACAAAAATAAAAGTAGTAAATGTAAACAAACGTGTTAAGGGAGCAATGATGTTTACAAAACGGATGCGGTTAAAGGTCAGAGGTCACTGCGAATTAGGATGAAAGAAAAGTAAATAACTATTAGTGCCAGTGTAATTTTCAGTTCAACCGTTAAGCACACAAAAAATTCCACTCTCAACGCAATAATAGTAAATTCTAATTTTTGATAAGTAAATGATAAATTTTATTAATATTATATTATTACAATGTTATTAATATTAGAGAATATTTTTTCATTCAAAGGAAATATTATAAATACGATTCTCTATTTTGTAGCAAAAGATTTTATTCTAAATATATTTAATATTTGGATTGACAATAATTATATTACAGTTAAGAAAAAGTTTGTTTGCAGATACCAATCAACTTTCGGCTTTAAATTTCCATACCTCTGTCATTACAGATAATTTCTTTCAAAAGCAATAAGAAATTTAAATTATCGGTGAATAGTAGCAAAGAACTATTTTTAAAAACCATTCAGAGATATCATTAATAAATTTTCGAAAAAATAGAGGACGAATATGTGAATTGTTAGATAGTTTTGATATATTTTTGATAACGATTCTCCCCCTTTTAGAAAGCCATGATGTCAATCAATAATTACATTTAATACGTGAATGTATATAGATTTTATCGAAAAAAGTTTTGGAGATTCTTTTATGAATGAAAAAATAATTTGAATTTATTTAAACCATAAGGGGATGAAAAAGTCGATATACTATTTTTACAAAGAGGAAAAATCGCATCGACTTTCGCATTACTATATACAATAAAATGCTCTATATTCAAGTACACTTGCATGATGGGGATAAATCATACAGTCGATCCGATGTTAAATTTTTGAAATTTTCGTCGCCATTTTGGATCCGACATTTTAAATTTCTTAATTTTTTATTTTATTTTATTATTTTATTATTTGGGTACTTTTTTAGATTTAAGCCACTAAAAGCTACTATTTCTGTTTTTTTAGAATTCCCACTACATTAAATTTGTTAATACTAGAAATCAAAAAACTATTCTCAAAAGTTATAATCAAATTCTTTAAAACGATTCAATTATTTTCATAAATAACAAAATTTTCACAGAAATTCAATTAATTTAAAATAGCATTTTCAAAAATAAAAAATTTGCAAAAAACAATTATTTAACAAATTTTGTATACAATTCTTCACAATAATTTTGAATTACTTTCACTAAAAATATCATTTTTCGCATGTAAATTCAATTTTTAAAAAAAAATTTTTTGTTAAAATTCTAAGCAAGAATTCAATTATTTTCATAAATAATAAAACTCATCAAAGAATTTCAATTATTTCTAATACTATTTTAAATTAATTAATCGAAAAATTCAATTATTTTCATAAATAAAGTTTTCCACAAGAATTCAATTATTTAAAATAAAATTTTCATAATATTTCTTATATTGCGAAAAAATTAATTATTAAAAACAATGTTTATAAAATTCTTATGAAGAATTCATAATTCTTGTCAAAAATAACAAATTTTTTTACAGAGATTCAATTCTTTTTAAACATTTTAATGAAATTTTTATCAGGAATTCAATTATTTTTATAAATAATAAAATTCTTCTCAGGAATTCAATTATTTTTAAAAATTTTTATCACATACTTTACAACTATTCAATTACTTTCATATAAATAGAAAAATTCATCTCAGGATTTCAATTATTTTTAATACAGTTTTACAGGAATTGATCGAGAAATGTAATTATTTTTAAAAATTTAATTTTAATTCCTCGAAAAAAAAACAATTATTTAACAAAATTTTTATACAATTCTTTACAATAATTCAATTACTTTCACTAATAAATAACATTTTTCATGGAATTTCAATTTTTAAAATAAAATTTTTGTTAAAATTCTATGAATTCAATAATTATTTCATAAATAATAAAACTCATCGAAGAATTTCAATTATTTTTAATACTATTTAATAATAATTAATTGAAAAATTTAATTATTTTCATATGAATTCAATTATTTAAAATAAAATTTTCATATTTATTATATTTCGAAAGAATTAATTATTAAAAACAATGTTTATAAAATTCTTATGAAGAATTCAATTATTTTCAAAAATAATAAAAATTTTTACAGAAATGCAATTGTTTATAAACATTTTAATAAAATTTTTAGCACAATAATTCAATTATTTTCATAAACAGAAAAATTCATCAAAGGATTTCAATTATTTTTAATGCAATTTTACAGAAATTGACTGAGAAATAAAATTATTTTAAAAAATTTAATTTCAATTCCTCGAAAAAATCAATTATTTAAAAAAATATATTTTTAAATTCTTTAGAAGAATTCAAATATTTACAAAAATATTAGAATTTTCAAAAGAATTCAATGATTTTCAATTAAATTCTTCCCAAGAATTCAATTATTTACATATAAATAATTCTTCGAAAGAATTCAATTATTAAAGATAAATAACAAAATTATTCCCGAAAATTCAATTATTTTGAGGCATTTTAATAAAATTCTTTGCAAAATTCAATTATTTTCATAAATAACAATATTGGTCACAAGAATTCAATTATTTTTAAACGTAAAATATTTCTTACTGAAAATTCAATTATTTTCATAAATAATCAAATTTTTACGGGAATTCAATTAATTTAGAATATCATTTTCAAAAAAAACTTCGAAAGAATCAATTATTGAACAAAATTTTTATACAATTCTTCACAATAATTCAATTACTTTCACTAATAATAACATTTTTCATGGAATTTCAATTTTAAAATTAAAAAAAAAAACGTTAAAATTCTAATAAAAAATTCAATTATTTTCATAAATAATAAAACTCATCAATGAATGTCAATTATTTTTAAAACTATTCTAAAATAATTATTCGAAAAATTTAATTATTTTCATAAAAATTCAATTATTTAAAATAAAATTTTCATAATATTTATTATAATTTAAAAAAAATTAATTATTAAAAACAATGTTTATAAAATTCTTATAAAGAATTCAAATTCTTGTCAAAAATAACAAAAATTTTTACAGAAATTCAATTCTTTTTAAAACACTTTAATAAAATTTTTAGCAATAATTCAATTATTTTCAGAAATTATAAAATTCTCCTCAGAAATTCAATTATTTTTGAAAATTTTAATAACATACTTTGCAACTGTTCAATTATTTTCATAAATAATAAAATTCATCAACAGGATTCTTAAAAATTTAATTTTAATTCCTCGCGAAAATCAATTACTTAAAAAAATGTTTTTTTTAAATTCCTCGTAAAAATTCAATTCTTTTCATGAATAATAAAAATTTCTCAGAGGAATTTAATTATTTAAATTAGAATTTGCATAAAATTAGTCGAAGGAAATAAATTATTTAAAAATTTCCATAAAATTCTTCGCAAGAATAAAATTATTTTTATAAATATTTTAATTCTTTCATGAATAATGAAATTCGTTGCAGAAATTCATAATTTATTAGCAAAAGAATAAGAAAGAAGTAAATATTTTTGATGAAAATTAGGAAAAAGTCAGGAAAATAAAAAATATGGAATTGAATTTTTGTCAGTTTTGTGAAGGGTCTAAAACGAGTTTTTTTTTTTTTGTTGTCAATTTTAATTTTTCGATAGCTACTTTTTTACTACTTTATTTTAATTTGAAAGCTACTTTTTTAATATTAATTATCGAGAGCAAAGTCTAGACATAAAACAAAGAAAATAAAATGATTCGAATTCTCCCTCTTTTTGTCTAATAATTTACATTTTTTCTCATAAATTAAATAATTGTATAAATCCCGTAAATCAATGATACAAATTTCACAAAATAATGGGAATTTTTTTTTCCTTTTCTCTTTTCATCGTTTTCTCAAGTAACTTGGATTTTGATTATTTCAAGCGATTAAAATTTAATTCACTCGAGCAAGGCTTAAAAATTGTTAATTTAGTGCTAGTTTCTTGAAAGAAATTTTGAAAAAAATTTATTGTTACGTTTACATTGTTAAAAATGAAATTTTATTTTAAAAATTTAAAAATCTTATCGTAAATTATTTAAAAAATTTTTACAAATATTTTTATTAAAAACTACGCATGAAAACAAAAGCGTTTCATTTTAAAAACGTCCAGTTTGATCAATTTTTAACCGAGTTAGTTAAGCATTTGAAAAAAAAATATTCGTAAAAAACATCATTTTTCAAAAATCTGTATCTCCTGAATTGATTTATAAAAAAATTTGAAAAAAATCATGGTTGCTCATTTCAAGGAGTACTAAAAGAAAAAAAAATATTTAAAATAACATTTGAGATGCAAAAGCAAAATTTCGACTTTGGAAGAAACTTTGAAATTTAATTTTTTTTATTTAATTTTTTTTTTTTTTAATATTTATTTGAGAAAACTTTGGAAGTCTTTCGACTTTGGGGAAGTTGGAAATTTTTCTTTTTAAAAACATGACAATGATTAGATTTAAATATATAATTAAAATATTTTTTTTTTTCGATATTTTTTTCTCAGATTGTAATAAAAGTTAATATAATCTGCGCAAAAGGTGAAAATCATGCAATTGTTCCATATTATCCAATCCGTATGCAACATCCCCCATAGAAAGTGGGGGCTGAGTTCACGTCAAATACTATATAGGAAGGCGTCGCGACGCTCCCGTTGTCATTCTCGCGCAGACTTCAAACGCACGCGACACTTTACTTCGGCAACAGGTGATAATCACAATAATTATTGCAATCTTCCGCTTTTCATCATTCTTTTTTTTTTCTCAACTAAAATTTGTTCAATAAAAATTTTAGCCTAAAATATTTAATTTTCAATATTTTTCTTCCTTTGTAATAAATTTTTTTCTTATTTTCTTCAATATATTATGAATTTTTTAAGGTGATTTGCACAAAGTGTTTCAATTTGTTGTAATATTTTGAAAAAGGAAATAAATTTTCTTGTTTGAAAGAGCAATTAATAATTTTGTAATTATTAATCATTTCTTTGTGGAAATTTATTTGATTACTATAAGATTTTTAAATAAAAAAAATTTTTTTAGTGGGTAAAAATTGTTTTTTTATTTTTTTTTTTAATAGAGAAGACTTAATTTCTTCATTGTGATGTTTGTTTTCACAAAAAAGCTTAACAGGTAAGATTAGAATGTAAACTTTTTTTCTAAAAGCATGTCTCGAGCGAGAAATGAGCAACAGGTGAATTGCTGTAATTCTCATATTATTTAAATGTTACAATTTATTATGAAAATATTTACTTTTTTGGAAAACTAATTTATAATAATTGTCGAAATAATAATTTTTTTTTATTGACAAAATTTTTTGTAACTTTTTTAATCTATTACTATTATATTATTAAATTATTTCATTGTAACAATTATAATTATATTATTAATAAAATAATAATATTTATTATTATATATTATTATAATTATTATTTTAATAAAAAAAAGCTTATCGGTCGTGTTTTTTTAATATAAAAAATTTATTTAAAAAAAATTTTTTTTTTTATTACAAAAGTGTCGGCGTTTTGGATCATCTTCAGGACTAAACTTCGACACTTTTGTAATAAAAAATAAAAAAAAATTTCTTTTTTAAATAAATTTTTACATTAAAAAAAAAACACGATCGATAAGCCTTTCTCAAAAATATTTAAATAATAAACGTCACTAACTTCAAAAATATATATAAATATTATTATTAAATTGAAAAAAGATTTTGTATTATTAATATTATTATTATTATTATTATTGTTACCATTATTTTTTTTTAACTTATACCATTATTTTTTTATTAAAATTATAATTTATTAAAAATGAAAAAGAATTATTTATTTATAGAAAATAAATCTTTATACCTATTTAATTATAAATATAATGAGAAATTGATATATTTTCGTCCTCAATAATTACTATAAATTCATTTTTTATTTATTACTTAATGTTTTTTATTTATTTATTTTACTTGTTTTTTTTATTTCATTTAAAAATTGACGGAATTATTATTTACATATTATTACCTAATTATTTCGTTATTTAATTTATTATCTATTGTTTATTCTTTATTATTTTTTTTTCTTTTTATTAAATTTATACAGCAAATTATTTATTGTACATAATTTAATTTTTTATTTCTTGCTGTTTATTCATTGATTAGTATTTTTCATTCTTAATATTTTTTTCTTATAATATTTAATATATTTATTTTATTTTCTCAAAGATATAATTAATTTTTACATATGTAAAATTGAGAATAATAAACTTCGAAAAGTACAAAAAAAAATTTTATTTTTAATTTATTGTTTAAAAAATTTTATTTCCTTAAAAAAAAATGTTATTAAATTAATTTAAAATAAATATTATATATATGACGATATTCGATTGTTTTTTTAGTCACAATAATATTTAATTCCTTTTTTCATTTTTGTGTGAAAACTAATTTTTAAAAATGAAACAAGTTTTTTCGAAAAATGCAAAATTTATTGAATATCAAAATTTTATTATTTCCTCTTGAATTACAATTTTATATTCAATTAAAATGGTTTACACTTTCAGAGTAAGAGCTTTTTTCGAATGACGTCCATTCAATCAATATTCATAGTTGCATTGATGTGAAATATGCAAAGGGACAATAATTTTCTTTTTTTGTACGTGTAATGCTTGCAATAAATTTTCAATTAACATTTTATATTGTCTTTGACAATTGGAAAAATTTGCTTAAGTTTTATAATTTCAAAAAAAAAATTTTTTTTCTATTTTGCCATAAATAATTATTTATTATTTACATACTTGGATTTATTTTTTTATTTACTTCAATTTATTTATTTAATATTTAATATTAATATTTAATAATAATAATATTTAATTTATAATATTTATAATATTTATAATATTTATATTATTTATAATATTATTCACTTGAATATTTAATTGATTTAGGTATAGTTATTACAAAATGAAAAATACAGAATTTAGAAAATTAAACCAAAAAAGTAAATTTAAAAATAAAATAATGATTTAAAATTGTATTTTTCCAAAGGTATTATTTATAGATAAGTATTTAATTTATAGCTTTCAAAGTAAATTTGAATATTGATTCGCACCATTAAAAAGGAAAGTAATTAAAAATGCTTCAAAGTTATTTACTTTGTTCTATGCGAAGAAAAAAATCCAGTAGAATGAATCTTGCAGGCACGCTGAATAATATACATATTATAAGGGATGTGCATTTTAATCGTCGCTTATTGCAAACTTGTTTACAGCTTAAAAACGCGTCGTTCCCAAACCCCTATAAGTATATACACTAGTGTCTAGCTACCGACTAAATACACTTTTTTTTTAATTCTAATAACTATCTCATTGTTTTTTTTCCATTTTTAAGTATAAAGTATGAATAAGAACCAGAAATTAAAAAAAAAAAAAAAGAAACGGAAAAAATATAATAATAACGGATGTAACACCAGGATTATATAATAGTACATTTTTACGAGCTAAAGCTCATATTCCAAGCTCAATTTTACCATTTTACTGTCCAATATCTTCTGGTAATTACATTTTTTAAATTTAATATTCCAATATCCCCTCCATTTGCTTCATTATTATTTAAGGGGAGACCCCACCTTAATTTTGACCCCTTTAAAATAAAATTATTAAACGAGGTAATATTTTTTTTCCTGCATCATTATTTTTAACCTGAAAACATATAATATAAGATGGTCAAAAATATTTAATTTTAATTTTTGAAGAGGTTAGAATTTTTTTCTTCTGATCTATTGCATATTATTGCAAATCCATATGCGAGAAGTTGTTTAGAATGGTAAAATATGCATGGAAAAAAAATTTCGTTAAAAAATATTAAAAACTGTAAGAGAAAATCGATTTTTAATATTCAAATCTTTAAATTTTGCCGAAATGTCAGAAGTCCTGAACCTTTATTTTTGTCCAATTTAATGTCAATTTTAACAATGTTTTTTTAATAATAGCAATAATAGCATCAAATTACGTAAATATACACAATTTGAAAAAAATGAAAGATTTACGGCTTTTGAAATTTCGGCAAAATTTAAAGATTTGAATATTAAAAATCAATCTTCTCTTACAGTTTTTAATATTTTTGAACGAAAATTTTTTTCCATGCATATTTTACCATTCTAAACAATTTCTCGCATGGATTTGCAATAATATGCAATAGGTCAGAAGAAAAAAAATTCTAACCTCTTCAAAAATTAAAATTAAATATTTTTGACCATATCTTATATATGTTTTCAGGTTAAAAATAATGATGCAAGAAAAAAAATATTACCTCCTTTAATAATTTTATTTCAAAGGGGTCAAAATTAAGGTGGGGTCTCCCCTTAACAGATTTTGTTGGATATGCGCGCAAAAAATAGTGATGATGACTGAAAATAATTTTTCTTTTGGAAAAATTAATATTTAGTAACTTTTTTTTTTCTTAATTGTGAATAATTTTATAATTATTTTTGTTTTGCATACTAATATTAATTATGTAACAGAAATGAAAAAATTTACTACAATACAACTTTTCTTGCGAGAGTAAGAGCACAAAAAGCAAATCTGTAAAATGAATCCAACTGCGAGGGACATTCTCTTATAAATATATCATCATTTTTTATTCGAGAAAAGTTGCCGGCTGGGGAAACTTTTCATAATAATTTTTTCTAAATGGTACCATCAATCTTGATGTAGATAACAATACAATCATAAGGATGTTACCCATAACAAATATGAAACTACACGTCCTGTAACAGATTTTTGCATCGTGCAATTATTTAAAGTTGACATTTTTTTTTTTCTACAACTTTAGCAAAACAAATTGCATTTTAAACATTTTATACATTTTAAACATTTAAAAATTATTTTAAAAATTTTTTAAATTATTTAAAAAATTTTTAAAATTATTTTTAAAATTATTTAAAAAATTTTTAAGGTATTTAAAAATTTTTTTAAATTATTTAAAAAATATTTGTTAAAAATTATTTTAAAAGAATTATAGAAAATTTTTAAAACAAAAATTTATTTTAGGATCGGAAAAAATAAAAAAAAAAAGCATTGCATTAACTTAAAGTATTTTTATTTTAATTTTTAAAATAAAAGGTTGATATTTAAGTTAAGTAGCTGTTTTAGATAATTCTGACCAATTCCAACAAAAAATGTAAATGAAATATATATATAATAGAGGATTCCCCATAGTACGTAAGAAAATATCACCCTAACAATAATATTTCTCCTGCGCTTCTCGTCGAGTATCATGAGGTAGAAAAGAAATAAATATATTCTTCTATTTATATGGAAGTCAGCATTTTTTCACCTCAAATATTCTTGACATTATTATTAATGCAGAGAGCGCAACTTCCTGAAATGTCAGAACTGACATTAATGTCAGGAAATATTACTATTTTCTATAAATCTATGGATAAAAATCTAACCACCCTGGCGAAAAGTTCTCTAATAGAAATTTAAGAGAAAATAAATAGATTCTAATATAGATATAGCATTAGGGTTTGAAAACGATTTTTATTGTCGTTTTTTTAAGGCCACAGTGTAGAGGTTAAATTATTTTGAAATATATTCTTCCATGTGACTAAAATTGACCAAAAAAAAAAAAAAAAAAAATTTAAACACAAAAGATGGGGACAATTAAAATTATATTTTTTAATAATATTACCGAAATTAACCAAAATAATAAAGAAAAATATG